TTTTTTTTTTTTTTGGTGCCAATTCTGGGGCTTGAACTCAGGGCTTGGGCACTGTCCCTGAGCTGCTTTTGCTTAAAGCTAGCGCTCTACCACTTGAGCCACAGCACCACTTCTGGCTTTTCTGAGTGGTTTCTTAGAGATAAGAGTCTCATGGCCTCTCCTGTCCAGTTGGCTTCGAACTGCGATCCTTAGGCCTCACCCTCCTGATTACAGGGGAGTCACCAGCACCCGGCTTTTTTTTTTTTTTTTGAGACAGGGTCTTGCTATGTAGCTTGAGATCCTCCTACCTTAGCCTTCTTCTTTTTTTTTTTTCATGATTTTTTTTTTAAATTGTGAAAATACAGAGGGGTTACAATTACATGAACAAGGTAATGAGTACATTTCTTATCAAGCATTGTTACCTCCTCCTTTGTTTTCCTTCCCATCCCTTCCCATCCCCCCCATGCCAAAGTTGTAAAGTTCATTTTTTGACATAACATCTTGTGCATCTCATTGTTGCAATGGGTCCACCTGTGTCCCTATTTAAGCAATTTTTTCCCCTTCCCCTCCCCAAATTATACCAACATCAAATACAGTGAAAACAGGGGTTATACTGTGGGGGAGGGACATACAAAGCAACAAAAAAATATCTTATAAATATGTTAGAAACAGTAGCAAGAAAGAAAAAACATTTGAGTCCTTATCTTGGGGTTCATTTTGCCTAACATCAACTTATCTGACCGTTTCTGCTTGTCTCAGACATATACTAGTTATTGCAAATAAGGGAAACCATGGGACCTATGTTTCTTTGGGCCTGGCTTACTTGACTTAATATAATTTTTTCAAAAACGATGGTTAGGGGGCTGGGAAGGTGGCTCAGTGGTAGAGTGCTTGCCTTGCATGATGAGGCCCTGGGTTCGATTCCTCAGCACCACATAAGCAAAAAGAAAAAAGCCAGAAGTGGGCTGTGGCTCAAGTGGTAGAGTGCTAGCCTTGAGCTGAAGAGCTGAGGAACAGCACCCAGGCCCAGAGTTCAGGCACCATGACTGGCAAAAAAAAAAAAACCAAAAAAACAAAAACGATGGTTAGATACCATGAAGTAGGTGGCAATGCCTTAACTGTGTGCGTGTTGTTAGGCCCAAGGGCCTCTTCCATCCTGTCAAGGGGAATGCTAACCTTCTCTCCTTTCATACAGCACTACCTCAGCCTTCTAAGTGCTAGGATTGCACTACCACACTTGCTGCACTGCTTTTTAAAAACAGTCACTAAAAAGACATGTATTGAAGAAAAATTTTATTGTTGATGATGATCATCTGCCCTTTTGTGTCATGATATATTTTACTGTTTTCTGGAGGGGAGGGGATCTATACATGGAAAAATGAGGGGCTGGGAAGGTGGCTCAGTGGTAGAGCTGCTTGCCTTGCATGCGAGGCCCTGGGTTTGATTCCTTAGCACCACGTAAGCAAAAAGAAAAAAGCCAGAAGTGGTCTGTGGCTCAAGTGGTAGAGTGCTAGCCTTGAGCTGAAGAGCTGAGGGACAGCGCCCAGGCCCAGAGTTCAGGCCCCATGACTGGACCCAAAAAAAAACAAAAACAAATACATGGAAAAATGAGTAGAATGCCTTCTAGTACACATATCGGTCCCGTACAACTTGTATCTTGCATTTGCAAGTTCAACATCACAGCTGGAGCCTCTGGATACCAAGTTTTTCAGTTGCAAAAACTTCCTTGGTTGCTCAACAGCATTCTGGGAGTAGAGATGTTTCATTATTACTGAATTTTAGAATTGAGCTGAGTGGGAGTATTAGAAGATCACAGTGCTTACAGAATTGTAAAGATTTAATGCCAGAACATGAAAACCCCCCACAAATTGTAAGTACTCTCTAAGTGTTAGTCAATCCAAATATAATCTACAAATAGCAAAGGAGATCCGGCAAAATGAAGAGACTTGCCTAATGCTATAATGGTTACGTGTGGCTTAGATTTTGGGCCTCCTTTTTTTTTTTCTTGCTAGCCATGGGGCTTGAACTCAGGGCCCGGGCACTGTCCCTGAGTTTCTTTTGCTCAAGGCTAGCACGCTACCACTTGAACCACAGCACCACTTCCAGCCTTTCTGTGTATATGATACTGAGGAATTGAACCCAGGGCTTCATGCATGCTAAGCAAGCACTCTACCACTAAGCCATATTCTCAGCCTTAGATTTCAGTTCTCATTATACCTAACTTACCTGACTTCATATCATCCCTCTTAAAAGAGACTGCCATAATGCCAAAGGGAGGAGAATGACTCAGTTAATCAGTAATTATTTATGTGTGTACTGGGTGCCCGTCATTCTGCTAGACTCTAGTACAGAGGATATTGCCATAAGTGGGAGGGAGGTGGAACTGGAGGCGGGTAGGGGCAGGACACCAGCCTATCTGGAGAAGAGTATGAAGCTAGGGAGGGGTCAGCTATGTAGGGTGCGGAGGGTAAAGCACCGGGAGCCCCAGGCCTGCCCTGTGTGTCCACATTCTGTTTCCTTTCAGAGTCAACCTTTTGAAAGAACATAATGTGACACAAACTATAGCCATTGAGATTAGCCCTGGATTTCAATTCTGGTTATGACACTGTTCAAAATCCACCAGTTATGACTTGCCACTTAATTAAAATCCAAGCGCTGTAATTGTTCACAGGACCCTCAATCATCTGGCTCCCCACAGCCTTCTTTGCTACTTCTTTTATCTCTCTTGCTCACTCAGCTCCAGTCACCCTGCCTTCCCTGACACACCAAGGGTTCTTGCATTGGGGACTTTGTACTAGTTGCGCTCTCCGTCTGCAAGGCAACTCCCGTGCATAGCTGTGTGGCCTGAGCTTTTATTTCCTTTAGTTCTGTGCTCAGTTTCACCATATAGAGGTTTCTCTGACCACCTGGTTATCTTACCCTTCCCCATAGACGTACAATGCTCCCTTATCCAATAAGAAAGAATGCTAACTTCCTAGAATTTTAAGGCTTAAAAATTAATTGTGGTCAGGTGCCGGTGGCTCACACCTGTAATCCTAGCTACTCAGGAGGCTGAGATCTGAGGATTGCAGCTCAAAGCCAGCCTGGGCAGGAAAGTCTGTGAGACTCTTAACCACAAAAAGCTAGAAGTGGAACTGTGGCTCAAGTGGTAGAGACTAACCTTGAGCAGAAAAGCTCAGGAACAGTGCCCAGGCTCAGATCAAGCCCCAAGACTGGTACATGGACACACACAAAAAAGTATTTCCTCATCTGTAAAATGAAGACAGAGCTACTAATGTTACTGTGAAAATTAATAAGTATATATATATATATGAAGCTCTTATGCTAGACACAAAGAGAGGTGCTTTATGAGCTAATACATATGTATTGTTTTCTAAAAGTGTTTGCTGTAGAAAAATTAGTTTACATTAATGGGCTTAATTTGTGTGTGTGTGTGTGTGTGTGTGTGTGTGTGTGTGTTTTGGTCTTGAGGCTTGAACTTAGGGTCTTGGTGCTCTCCCTTAGATTTTTTGTTCAAGGTTAGTGGTCTACCACTTGAACCACAGCTCCACTTACTAGCTTTTTTCTGGGTAAGTAGAGATAAGAGTCTCATGGACTATCCTTCCCAGGCCTGCTTGTTTGCGCCCAGGCTGGCTTTTGTTGTTGTCTTGTGCTGGTACTGGGGCTTGATCTTGGGGCCTGAGCACTGTCCTGGAGCTCTTTTGCTCAAGGCTAGCGCTCTACCACTTGGACTACAGCTCTACTTCTGGCTTCTTGTAGTTAATTGGAGATCAGAATCTTGTGTGCTTTTCCTGCCCAGGCTGGCTTTGAACTGTGATCCTCAGATCTTAGCCTTCCTTAGCTAAGATTACCAGTGAGCCACTGGTGCCCAGCTTCCTGGGCTGGCGTTGAACTGCAGTCCTTAGATCTCAGCCTCTTGAATAGCTAAGATTATGGCTGTGACCTTCTGGTGCCTAGCAAGAATTTAGGATTTTATTGCCATGAGTTTACACCTTTGAAAGGTGTTTTGTTTTGTTTTAATATGTGTTGTGGATCAAACCTAGGGCCTTGAACATGCTAAGCAAGTGCCCTTGCCCATTTACTTACTACCTCCTCAGCCCTGAAGGTGTTGATTTTTTTTTTTTTTTTTGCCAGTTGTGGGGCCTGAACTCAGGGCCTGGGCGCTGTTCCTCAGCTCTTCAGCTCAAGGCGAGTGCTCTACCACTTGAGCCATAGCATCACTTCCGGCTCTTTCTGCTTATGTGGTGCTGAGGAATCAAACCCAGGGCCTCATGCATGCAAGGCAAGCACTCTACCACTGAGCCACCCTCCCAGCCCTGGTGTTAATTTTTTTTTTTAACCATTGCCATCGAAGATCTGGTAAAATTAGGAAATTCCTTGGGAATGAGCTAAAAAGCCATTGCCTCCTACTTCGTACTGAAATTCCTGTGTAGAAGGAAGGGGAATTTCACAGTGGGTTTTTATAGGAGTGTGCTTGACCAGGTTTCAGTCATAAATTCTGTTGGTTACAAGTACTTATTCAAGATGTAGGGAGACCAGGGATCTGCTAAGCAGTGTGCTCTGATGAACGTATTTATCTTTGAAATGAACTTTTCCCCTTCTCTCCTCAGCTGCTCAGATAAAGAATTTGATGAGCCAACTAGGAACTGTGCAGGACTCAAGCACAAATCAGGAAAATCTGTGAGTACCTTCGGAACAAGATTGGGTTTTGTTAGGTTCTTTAAGGATATACTTGGTGTCCTTATTGTGTGGCCTGTGAAATTTTAGATTGGTAAAGTCAAAAGAAAAGGGCTGGGAGGCAGTAGCTGGAGCTAGGAGTAAGGTAGTGTATTAATGGACTAGGATTTCCTGAACTGATTCTTTTTTTCCTTGGTTCTTTTAGCAGAAAATTGAGGGAGGCTTGGGTGGGAGCTCCTACCATTCCTAAACCATGTGGCCCAAACTCTGTGTAAATGAATCTCCTTGCTGGCACAGGATTCTTTTTTTTTTTTCTTGGGGGTGGGGTGTCCGGTCGTGGGGCCTGAACTCTGGGCCTGGGTGCTGTCCCTCAGCCCTTCAGCTCAAGGCTAGTGTCTACCACTTGAGCTACAACGCCACTTCTGGCTTTTTTTCTTTTGCTTATGTGGTATTGGGGAATCGAACCCAGGGCCTCATGCATGCAAGGCAAGCGCTCTACCACTGAGCCACCTTCCCAGCTCCTGGCACAGGATTCTTGATGACCTAGTCTGGTTTGATTTGATTTCCAACTGTACATGCTATGAGAAAAATAGGATAATCAGAGGCAAGGCTGAGGGAGAGAGTAAGTGGACTGGTAGTCTAACTTACGATATTTTTTTCCATACGTCACATTCTTCTTGACTCTCTTTCTGCTTTTAGTTCTGTTTCTTTTTTTTTATTATTTTATTTTATTTGTGAACATACTGTACAGAGGGGTTACAATTACATGGGCAGGATAATGCGTACATTTCTTACCAAGCATTGCAGCCTCCTCCTTTGTTTACCCTTCACCTCCCTTCCCAGCCACCCCCCTCCCCCCCGCCATTTCTTGTCTTTAAAGTGTCCTGACCAATATTCTTCTCATCCTTATATGTTGTGAAGTGAGGGATTGACATTACTGTGAGCTTTCCCAGGGAGATGTGAAATATTTTAGCATTGTCTGGGACACTGGCTTCTGGCTAACACCCTCTTGTTTTTTTTTGGGGGGGGAGTTGCTTGTGGGGCTTGAACTCTAGGCTTGGGCGCTATCCTTCAGCTCCAGCTCAAGGTGAGCACTCTACCACTTGAGCCACAGCACCACTTCCGATTTTCTAGTGGTTACTTGGAGATAAGAGTCTCACGGACTTCCCTTGCCAGGCTGGCTTTGATCAGTGATCCTTAGATCTCAGCCTCCTGAGTAGCTAGGATTACAGGAGTGAGCCACCAGCACCCAGCTTACACCCTCTTGTTTTTGCCTGCCTTGTTATCTAGTTCTAGAGGCCTCTTTGGAGTGGAAAAACACTAATAGTAGCATGGCGTCTTAGTGCACTTGGGCTGCTATAACAAGACCATAACTAGATAGTTTATGAACAGCAGAAATTTATTTGTCTGTAGTTCTGGAGGCTGACAAGTCCACGATATGCAGTGCCCTGGGAAGGCCGGCTGCTTCATAGATGATGTTTCACTGTCTGCTCCCTGGAGGGAGAAGGAAACAGCTCTCTGGGCACTAATGCTATTTATGATGACACCACCCTTCCAATGCTGTCTCCTAATGCTGTCATTGGGAGAGCTAGGATTCCAGCTTAGGAATTGAGGCTTTCCATCCTCCCTGAAAACTTCAGAGATGGCTAGAGACTTGATAAAGCCACGAATGAAAACACCTTGTGTGTGTGTGCGTACTTGTGCCAGAACACAAGGCCTCATGATTTTGTACTTGGCTTTTTGTTTAAGGCTATTGCTCTACCACTTAAGCCACTTCCACTACTGGCTTTTTGCTGGTTAATTGGAGATAAGAGTTTCATAGACTTTTCTGCCTAGGCTGACTTCAAGTTATCTCAACTTCCTGAGAAGGTAGGATTATAGGCATGAGCTACAGGCACCTGTCTGAAACAACTTTTGTTGGTTGTGGGGCCTGAACTCTGGGCCTGGGCGCTGTCCCTCAGCTCTTCAGCTCAAGGCTAGCACTCTACCACTTGAGTCACAGCGCCACTTCTGTTTTTTTTTTTCTTCTTATGTGGTGCTGAGGAATCAAACCCAGGGCTTCATGTACACAAGGCAAGCACTCTATCACTGAGCTACCTTCCCGGCCCTGAAACAACATTTTTTTTTTTTTGGTCCGGTCGTGGGGCCTGAACTCTGGGCCTGAGCACTGTCCCTCAGCTCTTCAGCTCAAGGCTAGCGCTCTACCACTTGAGCCAAAGCACCACTTCTGGCTTTTTTCTTTTTGCTTATGTGGTGCTGAGGAATCGAACCCAGGGCCTCTGGCATGCAAGCAAGCACTCTACCACTGAGCCACTTTCCCAGCCCCCTTTTTTTTTTTTTTTTTGGTCCAGTCGTGGGGCCTGAACTCTGGGCCTGGGTGCTGTCCCTCAGCTCTTCAACTCAAGGCTAGCACTCTACCACTTGAGCCACAGCGCCACTTCTGGCATTTTTTCTTTTTGCTATGTGGTGCTGAGGAATCGAACCCAGGGCCTCAGGCATGCAAGGCAAGCGCTCTACCACTGAGCCACCTTCCCAGCCCTGAAACAACTTTTTTGTTGTTGTTGTTTGTTTTTGGTCATGGGGCTTGAACTCTGGGCCTGAGTGCTGTCTCTCAGCTCTTCAGCTCAAGGGGAACATTCTACCACTTGAGTCACAGCACCACTTCTGGTTTTCTGGTGGTTTTATTGGAGATAAGAGTCTCACAGCCTTTCCTGCCCAGGCTGGCTTTGAAGTGTGATCCTCAGATCTCAGCCTCCTTAGCAGCTAGGATTATAGGCATGAGCCACTGGTGCCCAAATGAAAACAACTTTTTGTACTTTTATTACTTTGCAAATCTATAATATATTACATAGTCTGCCTCTGTGATTTCCTTCCTTCTCTCTTTATATATTTGGCTTTTCTTTCCCTTTCTCTCTCCCTCCCTCCCTCCCTTCCTCCCTTCCTTCCTACCTTCTTTTTTTGTTTGTTTCTTTTTTGTTGTTGTTGCTGATCATGGGGCTTGAACTCTGGCCTTGGACTCTGTCCCTGTGCTCTTCAGCTCAAGGTGAATGCTCGACCACTTGAGCCACAGCGCCACTTCCATTTTTGTTGTAGTGGTTCATTGGAGATAAGTCTCATGGACTTTCCTACCTGGGCTGGCTTTGAACTATGATCCTCAGATCTCAGCCTCCTAAGTAGCTAGAATTATAGGTATGAGCCACTGATGCCTGGCCTTCCTGAGCTTCTTTTGCTCAAGGCTAGCACACTACCACTTGAGCCACAGTGCCACTTCTGGCTTTTTCTGAGTAGTTTATTGGAGATAAGAGACTCAAAGATTTTACTGCCCAAGTTGGCTTGGAATCATGATCTTGAGATTTTAGCTTCCTGAGTGGCTAGGATTACAGGCATCAGCCACCAGTGCTCAGCTCAGCTATGCTTTTTGCTGGTTATTTTGGAGATGAAGTGTAGTAGGCTTTTCTGCGTTAGCTGACTTTGAACCATAATCCTTTGCACCTCTGCTTCCAGAGTAGCTAGTAAAGATGTGAGCCATTGGTGCCCAGTCTTACATTTTTGTTTTTGTTTTGTTGGTTGTGGGACTTGAACTCTGGGCTTGGGTGCTGTCCCTTAGCTCTTCAGCTCAAGGTGAGCACTCTACCATTTGACCCACAGTGCCACCTCTGATTTTTTGGTGGTTAATTGGAGAGAAGAGTCTCACAAACTTTCCTGCTTAGGCTGGCTTTGAACCACAGTCCTCAGATCCTGAGTAGCTAGGATTACAGGTGTGAGCCACTGGCACCTGCCTAGTTTTATATGTTTTTAAACACACAGAGCTGGGGCTGGGAAGGTGGCTCAGTGGTAGAAAGCTAGTCTTGCATTCCTTGAGGCCCTGGGTTTGATTCCTCAGCACCACATAAGCAAAAAAGAAAAGAGCCGGAAGTGGCACTGTGGCTCAAGTGGTAGAGCGCTAGCCTTGAGCTGAAGAGCTGAGGGACAGCACCTAGGCCCAGAGTTCAGGCCCCACGACCAGACCCCCCCAAAAAAAAACCAAAAAAAACCCAAAAAAACCACACAGTGCTTCTTTATTTTGGAAGGAAGAGTCAGAAAATCAAGCATAAGGCACAAGTAGGGAATCCAGGATAAATCTGAAAAAAGAATGGATAGAAGGATACAAGCAAAAATGTAAGAATAAATCTTTGGAGTTTATTCCCTAGAATGGGTCAGAAGCTATGCTTTTAATGCATATTTCATCCAGCCACCTGTGCTTGGATTCAAGTCAGTGAACCATGATCAATATACCATGCTGAACTCCTGGGAAATTCAGTGGGAATTTTATAAGAGATTTAGGTGTGGGTAGCAGCTTCTTGTATTTCTATCAGAACTGCTGACAGGCTTCTCTTGTCTCCCCAAAGTGTTAAACCTGATCTGTGCTGCTTTCAGCAGGTATTCTTCAGACAGCCTCTTTCTGCCCACACTGGCTGCTTCAATAATGTGACAAGGCCTTAAAGTGGGTTTGCTACTGTAGTAGTCCCGAACTTTTGTTGTGAACATGGGCATTGAGGCACCCATTCCTTTGGAATGACCCTTCATATACCTGTGTTGTGAGGCAGTCTGAGAATAAATTATTACTCACTAGGATAGCCCTGGAGCATCCTGAACCATGTCTTTTCTCTCTTAGGCAAGAGTTACAACACTCCACAAATCAGCTCGCCAAGGAAACAAATGAATTGCTGAAGGAATTAAGATCCTTGCCCCTTCCCTTGTCTACTTCCGAGCAGGTTGGTGGTGTCTTGTGTTAAATAAATTTATAATGAGGGGGTGGGGAGAAGTAGTGTGATTACCTCCTGGCCAGGTCTCCCTTACCATCTAGTATCTCCAGCTCCTTTCCAACTTATCCTGTTCTCCTCTTAGCTATACACTTAGGGAATACACATTGGTTGAAAGTTTTCGTAGTAATAAGGAATCGAAGAGTCTGATGCAGACAGAATGTTGTAAGTACTTAGAGTTAAATAGTAACCTAAGCAAAATATAAATAGAAAGTCAAATCTGCTACCAAGAAAAAAATTCATCTAATGTATTCCAAGAGCAAGTAGAAGTTATTTTTGGATTATGCATATTATTGTTCCCTTCCATTAGCTTGAATCATTAAGAACGCAAAGTAGATCCAGAGGCATTCTCGGATGAAATATAATTCCCTTCTCTTTCACTAGTGGTGCTGAGTATACTTTTGTCTTTCCAGTGTTTCTATCTAATCTGCCTTAGGCCCATCTTCCATCTTCTTACCACTGTTCTGGATGTCCGAAGCATCCTTCCTTTTAGTTTTGTTTTTTTTTTTCTATTTTGTTTTTCCATTCTTAGATTTTGTATCAGTGATTTTTGAGCCTTTGCTTTTTTTTTTTTTTTTTT